TTGTTGTTTGGCGGGTCCAGGCTGGGGATTTGAACCCGCCACCTTAGGTGTACGTGGCTGGCGCCTTAGCCGGTTGAGCTATAGGCGCCGAGCCAAAGTTCTTTTTTTTTGAGATAGTCTCACTATGTTGCTTTCAGTAGAGTGCAGTGGTGTCACAGCTCACAGCAACCTCAAACTCTTGGGCTTAAGCAATTCTCTTGCCTCAGATTCCCAACTAGCTGGGACTACAGGCACCCGCAACAACATCCGGCTATTTTTGTTGTTGTTTAGCAGGCCCGGGCCAGGTTCAAACCCACCAGCCCTGGTGTAATGTGGCCGGCACCATAACCACTGAGCATGGGCACCCAGCCAACTCACACAAAGTTTGTTTTTTTTTTTGAGACAGAGCCTCAAGCTGTCACTCTGGGTAGAGTGCCGTGGCATCACAGCTCACAGCAACCTCCAACTCCTGGGCTCAAGCGAGTCTCCTGCCTCAGCCTCCCAAGTAGCCGGGGCTACAGGCGCCCGCCACAACACCCAGCTATTTTTTGGTAGCAGCCATCATTGTTTGGTGGGCCCGGGATGGATTTGAACCTGCCAGCTCAGGTGTATGTGGCTGGTGCCTTAGCCACTTGAGCCACAGTCACTAAGCCCCACACTAAGTATTAACCTCAGTTTCTTCCTCAGTAAAATGAAGATACTATATTGACCTCATAAGATTGCTGTGAGGCCCACTGTGATCAGAGAGGTGAAACAATTGGCACAGGATGTCAGTGGTCAAGGAATGGTTGTCATGTTTGGGGCTGTTTAGGCTGAGAGGGTTTTGGGCTCCTTCCCACCCACTAGCCTGTCCAGGCTCTGTCACAGTTGAGACTCTAGTGTCTGGGCTAAGAGGATGGCCAGTGTGGATTGGACCCTTTAGGAAGGGCAGGGTTAGTCCCAGAGCTGAGCACTTGTGACCTTTGATGATCACAGGAGGCATTGTGTCACTTGCTAGAATGTGAGCTCTGAGAGGGCAGAGACTGTCTTCCTTAGTCCTATGTTTCCCGAGCATGTTTCTAAACCTTGACATTTTAGGCCAGATAATTCTTTGTTGTATGGAGCTGTTCTGTGCATTGCAGGACGTTCAACAATATCCCTGCTTTCTTCTCACTAGATGCCAATAGCAAAACACTCCAAGCTGTGATGAGTAAAAATGTGTCTGAACAGAGCCACATGCCCTCTAGGTGGCAAAATCACCCCGATTGGGAACTACTGTCCTAGAGCCAGACAAAGGCAGATGCTGGTAAATATCAGACAGGAGGTAACAGCTGCCAGACGTCCTAATTCGGGGGATGGCACATGACTGTCTTTGCATGTGCATGTAAGTTGGCGCTTGAAGGGAAAGGGACAAGTGAGCAAGTTTTCTTACCTTCATGGACTTGTAAAGTTTGTCAGCAAAGAAGAGAGGCTTATTCTTGACACTTTGAACTGATGGAAAGAAGACAGAGATGCAGGGAGCTTAGTCAGAGGAAGTGCACCCGGCCCCTGGACTGGGCTCCCCTGCCCTGCCTCCTCTCTCCCACCCTGGGTCCGTAGATCACTGCCAACACCAGCGTCATGCTTGGGGTGACACTGACATCCCAATGCCTCCTTGTCTGGCTCAGCCCTAGTCCTGGTTCTTACTTGGTTGCAACTTACTTCCTACTAAAGTTGTTTATAGCTAACCAAGGTTAGCAGAGGATTCATGGAATTAACTCCTCATAAACCCAAGGTACAGGGCCTCAAATGTTTAAGTGCATTGGAATCACCTGAGAAGCTTGTTTAAAACTCAGGTTTTAGGCTCCACCCTAGAGACTCAGATTCTAGACACTGGTTCTTGAGGTGTGCTTTGTGGACCAACAACATTAGCATCTCTTGGGAACTTGGAAGAAATGCAAATTCTCATGCCCCACCCCACATGTGCTGAATCTGAAACTGGTGGTGGGTAACCAACTTGTCCCAATTTGCCTAGGACAGTCCTGGTTTTAGCACTGAAAGCCCCACACACATGAAGACTGCCCTACTCTAATGCAGCCTAATGTTTGAGAGCTACTGAATTACAAAAATACTGTCCCAAAGAATGGCTGTCCATTGGTATAATTTAAGGCACTGTGCTGCTTCCTGGGCTGTCCAGGGTCTGTGCACTCGGCCACACTGGCAGCCTATGCTCCTCACTCAGATAATGCATCCCTGTTAGGTCAACTCAGCCCTTTCTCAAGGACTTAACAGCTGCTTCATTTCAAGGTTCCAGAGCCCACAAGGGGGGGTATCTCAACTGAAGGAGGAGGAACCAGACACCAGCTTCAGAGCCAGGATGATGGTGAATATAAAAGTATCTCTATGGGAACAGGGGACCCCAGTGCCTGCCATGGGACAGGATGGTGTGAAATAGCCTGGCATGGGGTGCCAAAGTGGGAGGAGAGAAGGAGAAAGTAGAAATATCAGGAGGGCAGGACCTAAAACTGTCTCCAAAGGTCAATTATTATGGTGTTAAGAACATGGGCTTTTTGGCCTAGTGTGGTGGTCGGCACCTGTAATCCTACCATTCTGGGAAGCTGAGGCAGGTGGATTACTTGAGCTGAGGAGTTCAAGACCAGCCTAAGCAAGAGTGAGACCCCCCCCATCTCTACTAAACATATAAAAATTAGCTGGGTGTTATGGTGCGTCCCTGTAGTCCCAGCTACTCAGGAGGCTGAGGCAAGAGAATGGTTTGAGCCCAGGAGTTTGAGGTGAGTCCTATCTCCACTACTGTTATTAACCTCTCTGAACTCAGTGTCCTCTTTGTAATGTAAGCTGATGAGAACACCTGCATAGGATTTAACAAAACCTGCATGCAACTAAAGAAGCACAGGGCCTGGCAGGAAACAACAGTAAAAGCTAACCCTTGCCCAGTGAGCACTGTTCTAAGTGCTTTATGTATAATTAACTCGTTCAGATCTTATAAAAACACCAATTACTGTATAATTAACTCATTCAAATCTTATAATAACTATTGTGATTTCCATTTTATGGAGGAGGAAACTGAGACACAGAGGCTTTGTGACCTGTGCAAGGACATACAGCTGGTAAGTGGCAGAGCAGGGATTCAACCTAAATACCACGCTTTTAACCACTAGGCTCTCCGTCTCCTCAGTGCTGTGCCAAGGCAGTAAAGGCCCATCCATGCTAAGTGACAACAATACCTCTCCTTCACCCAATCTGAAACACCTTTCCCCCACATTTTAGTGTCTCTGAAATCAAGATTATTTTATAATTGATGGCAATTATGTGAAAATCTTCCATTGGCCCCTCCTGGTAGGATTAAAAAAATGCATTCATCAATGCAATGCACTTTATAGTAAATCAATTAAGATACTAACGATAATCAATACTGATGAAACCAACTTCAACCCTCACTCATGCCTACCCATCTATATTTACACATATAGAAATTGAGATCCAAAAGGGAAAGATTTTTTCAAAGTCAAGAAGTCCAATTAAGAAAAGAGGAACCAGAGAGAGCCAGGTGCTGGGAGGAGGAAAGAGCACATGTGTGATACGTCTGTATATGTACAATGTGTTTTGTATGTGTGCACGTGCTGTGTATGCACAGTATGACTGGTGTGTATGTGTAGGGCGTATGTGCAGAGTGTGTATGTGCGATGTGTTTTGTGAGCTTGTGTATTTTGTGAGTGTGTGTGTAAGTGCTCACATATACCATAGTCCTGCAGGATGCTGTGCCTCCCCGTGTCCTGTCCTAGCCTTCTGGCCCTTCCCCAGGGAGAGCTATTTTCTCATCCTTCCTGCAGCCCGGAAGAGTCCTCATACTTCCCAACACTCACACACTGGGCAAGACCAGAGGCCACCTGTTGCAGCATAAGCTTTCCAATACTAGTAGCCGAGGGTGCTGGCAAGGTTACACTCTTCCAGAAAACCTGGCCACGTTCCCAGTGTTCCCAGCCCCTTCCTTTGGTCCCCGCCAGTTACCAATGGCCACAAATGCATTCTTGACGTCCCCAGACATCTCCTTCTTGATGGTGTGTTCTATATCATAGTTGGTCATCTTGATGAACTCCTGGAAAACTGGCCCCAAGAGAAGCCCCAGGGGAGAGGCGTGAGCTCCAGCTCCAGGTGTTGGGGAAGCTCGAGCTCACCCCTCCCCTGCCCGACCAGGTCTGCATATAGGCTGTGCCCAGGAAACTGGCAACAGCGACAGGTAAGGCCTTAGCCCAGGCCGAATCACCATGAGAGGGAGTTCTGACATCAAGGCTGCTTTGGGGTCAAAGCCGATCTGTGCTAAGTTGGAGCCTCTAGGCTAGGCCAACAGCCCAGAGCCTTGGACAAGTTCCGGGAACCTAGACTAAGGCAGCAAAAAAGCCAGGGGTCCTAGTCATGGCTCTGCTTCTGCAACAGCTCACTGAGTGACCCTGAGTCACCCTTCCCCTTTCTGGGCCTCCTTTTCCTCCTACGTCAGGTTGGGACAGAGATTATTGTAAAGAATGACATAATGATAACACTCGGAAAGCACTGTCTATGTGCCAGGCATCGTGTTGAGTGCGTTACACATGTTGTATGTTTTGTGTCTTCACAACAACCAGGTGAGGTTGAACTAAAATCCCCATTCCGAGTAAGGGAACTCAGGCAGAGATTCAGTAACTTGCCTGAGGTCACACAGCTGGTAATGGGATAGATTGAAATTGAAGTGGTTCATCTTTTAGCCACTATGCTATAGCACCTTAAGTACCGAAAAGCATCAGATGAAAGCATGTGAAGACGTGAATGTCCTAGTGGAAAGGATGCTTCATGATCACCTAACGTCAGGGCCACTGCATACAGGGGTGCCCTGTGTGCGTGGCCACCTGTGGTTCAAACCACTTTTTGCTATCTTGCTCCTGGCAGGCATTACACATGGATCATGACACTGAACCTCAAAATCAGTGTCATGATCACACTCATGACAGCTTTCTAGGCAGCTAATTCCCCAGGCACTGGACACAGAAATCACACTCAGCACAGCTTTCTAGGCAGCTAATTCCAATTCATCAGAGTTAGCTTTCATGGTGAAATACACTTCCCATCTCTAATCCCGGCATTCACCTGCATTCCTGAGGAGGTGAAGGGAGCTGGCCCAAGGCTGAGCCATGGTCAGCAATAGAGTCAGGACTAACACCCAGGGCTCTGGGTCTCCATCAGCCATGCTACTCCACTGCTGGGGAACGCAGGGAGGTGGGTAACTGGCTTCTCTTGTTACAGAGAACTGAGAGCCTCCTGTTGGATTTGGGAATGTTCCTGCTGAACTGGGAAGGGGAGGAGGTCAGGCCTACCTCTCCGGAGGTGAGGGTAGCTGCGGGTGCACAGAACCGTCATGAAACGCGTCTCCAAGGAAGTTTTGTCTCCACTAGGTGTGTCTGCTATCTCCTGCACAGCCCAAGTTGAGGCAAGGATTTGGGAGGGGAGACACGAGAAAGCTTTGGTTATTATGCACATTCGTATCTTTGTCTGGGCTGAGGACAACTAGAAGCTGGGCTAACCCAGCCATCCAGGGGAGCTGAGATTGGGCCCCTCTTCTTTCCTCAGCCTTGAGTGCAAAGAACTTCACATTCCCCTTCCAGTTCCCAGATAGGTTTAGCACTGGGTACTTCCACCCTGGCCTCCCCAGGCACTGGACACAGAAATCTGACCTTGTCCTTTCATCCCTCAACCTCTCTAAAAGCCCCCTGGGAAATGTGTATGTGTGCATGTGCAAAAAAGATAGATGGCCTGGCCAGCATTTCCCTAAGCAAGATTAAAGGCAAACATATTTTAACATGTTACATATGTATGTTTCCACATTATCTTCTAGCCAGCGATTTTATTTACACTGATATTAAATTCCCTCTAAAACAACTTTTAGGTTTAAAAGTCAGTCAATGTAGAGGTAACTATGAATAGCTGGTGGTTATGCAGCACAAATCATGCCAGATATGAATGGCTGGGGTTTGAGAAACACTAGCCTGGGCCCTCTTTTGCCTAGCAAGGGCCTTAAGGGGCCCTGAAGGGGAGAGAGAGAAGCTGCAGAGCAAGCCCCCAAATCATCGCTTGAATCTGCCCCCACTGGACCCCAGCCCCAGGGCACAGCCAGACTTTACTCAGAGAGGCTGTTAAACTCCAAATGAAAAACAGGGCACTCACCAAGATCTCAGCAGCCACCTGAAAGCAGGGAGGAGAAGGGAGAGAGGGGAAGGCAAGAGTCAGAGGCGACCAGATGGTTGGTGGGGCCCTGGGGTGCAGGGTGAGGGGGCCTGGCTGGGAATGGCAGAGATCCTGAGAGACCCCAAGGGAACCCATGACATGAAAAGGGAAAAATACCTTTCTCTGACTTTGGGGGCCAGAGCTCAAAATGGGGCTAGGCCTGGCCAGGAGTGCAAGGTACCCTGCACCCTTTAGCACCCTCAGAGTTGGAAGGGGTTGGGAGACAGGTAATTTAAGCACCCCAGACAGGAAAAAGAGGTCAGCTGGGGCCTGAAGGAGAGGTGATTGGCCTGGAGGCACACAGGCAAACAGAGGTGGGAAAATCATTTTATAAGGATTACTTTTAATTGTTGCAATCTGCAGAGCACAGGATTCTGTGATTAGGACATTAATATTTTGTGAGAAAAACAGATATGATTGTGGGTGCCTGGGAACAAAACACAACCAGCTCTTGTGTACCCAGACTGAGTTTTGTTTTTGCCTTTTCCCCTGAAGCTCTGCTGACCCCTTTCTACTGGATAGATTGAAACTATTCTCTTTGTAAACGTCCCAGTAGCTTACATTCCAGAAATTTTTGTCTTCTTTTTATTGTATATTTGGCAACATCTAACAACAGTTAAAATACTATCTGCCATTTGATTAAGCAATTATGTTGCTCTACAGCCATACTGGCAAAAGTCTATCATGATAGAATGGAAGACTGTCCACTGCAGCATCTTTGCAACAGAGAAAAACTGGAAACTGTCAGTAGATGACTTATTGAACAGGCTATGGTTTATTCCAACAATGGAAACAACCCACACAGCTCTTAAAAAGAATGAGATCTATCTACAGTGCTGATAAGGAGACTTTCCATTTAAATTAAGTAAAAAGTAAAGCATGGTAGGGCGGTGCCTGTGGCTCAAAGGAGTAGGGCGCTGGTCCAATATACAGGAGGTGGCGGGTTCAAACCCAGGCCCTGCTTAAAAAAAAAAAGTAAAGTATAGCATATGGTATAAGAGTGTTTCTTTTATCTCAATAAAAAAAAACACAAATACTTTCATAGGCAACAAATTGTCAAGATGCTGTTAAGTGGTTACTTTTGAGGAGAAAGTATATAGGAAAGCTTTTTCATTTTTTTCTTTTAAGAGACAGAGTCTTACTCTGTCGCCCTTCATCGAGTGCTGTGGCATCACAGCTCACATCAACCTCCAGGTCTTGGGCTTAGGTGATTCTCTTGCCTTAGCCTCTGGAGTAGCTGGGACGAGAGGTGCCCGCCACAACTCCAGGCTATTTTTTTGTTGCAGTTTGGCCGGGGCTGGGCTGGATTTGAACCCACCACCCTTGGTATATGGAGCTGGTGCCCTACTCACTGAGCCACAGGTGCTGCCCACTTTTTCATTTTCTTTTCTTCTTCCTGAAATTTTGTTTACGTTTTCTAAACATGCAAATACATTACTTTGTTTTTTATTTAAATGCCAAATAGGAGTTATCAGGGCCACTAGGATTATAGGCTACTTCTGGTTTTACTCACTTAGTCACCCTTGGTAGCGTGCCCTAGCATCATAGCTTACAGTAACCTCAAACCCCCAGGCTTAAGTGATTCTCTTGTCTCAGCCTCCTAAGTAGCTAAGACTACAGGCGCCTGCCACAATGCCTAGCTATTTTTTTAGAGATGAGGTCTCACTCTAGCTCAGGCTGGTCTCCAACCTGTGAAGCTCAGGTAATCCATTCACCTCAGTCTCCCAGCTGCTGGGATTATAGGTGTGAGCCACCACCCCCAGCCCTTTTTCTGTATTAAAAACAACTCAGTTGTTGAATCTTGAGGACATTATACAGAGAGAAATAAGCCAGCCACCCAAGAGCAAATACTACACAAACCCATTTACGTGAAGTGCCTACTGCAGTCAAATTTTGTAGAGACAGTTGCTAGGTGCTGGCAGATGGGGAAGCGGGGAGTGACTGCTCAGTGGGTTCAGAGTTTCAGTTTTGCAAGATGAACAGTTCTGGAGATGGATCATGGTGATGGTTGCCTAACAATGTGAACGTATTTATGCCACTGAACTGTATGCTTAAACATGATTAGTATGACAAATTCCATTTATATATATAAAAATCAAAAATATTTTAAAGTTATGCTTAAAAAAGCTTGGTATTTTCTGTTTTTTAAAACAAAGAGAGGAAGATGTTCAAATAATTAAATAGGCCAGGCACGGTGGCTCACGCCTGTAATCCTAGCATTCTGAGAGGCTGAGGCAGGTGGACTGCTTGAGCTCACAGGCTTGAGACTAGCATGAGCCAGAGTGAGAGCCTGTCTCTAAAAAAATGGCTGGGTGTTGTGATGGGCACCTATATAGTCCTAGCTACTCGGGAGGCTGGGGCAAGAGGATCGCTTGAGCCTTAGAGCTGAAGGTTGCTGTGAGCTATGGACCCCATGGTACTTAACCCCAGGGTATCTGAGTGAGATTCTTTCTCAAAAAAGAAAAAAAAAATTAAACAAAAAGGAATTTAAAGTGCCAAATATTCTCATTTATTTAGGTGAGAGAACATGCAACAGATTAGTTTTTTTGAAGCTTCTTCAAGACAATAATAATACTATGCTTGGGGCAGCACCTGTGGCTCAAAGGAGTAGGATGCTGGCCCCATATGCTGGAGGTGGTGGGTTCAAACCCAGCCCTGGCCAAAAACTGCAAAAAAAAAAATTTATAATAATAAAGTAAAAAAAATACTATGCCTGTAGTATTAAAAAATGTGGTAGGGTACTAAAACAATATTCAACATTTAACACAAAAGCTTTTCCTTATTAGCATAGCTACTTCATGCAAAATCAATGTGGGCTGTTCCTCAAAAGGTTAAACACAGAGTTATCACAGGACCAAACAGTTCTACTCCTAAGTAGACACCTAAGAGAAATGAAAATGTATGTATGTATGTGCACACAAAAATGTGAACACAAATTTTCATAGCAGCATTAGTCATAATAGCCCCAAAGTGGAAAAACCCCAAATATCCATCAGCTCATGAATGAATAATGGAATATAACTTGGCAATGAAAAGTGCTGACAGAGCTTGGCGCCTGTAGCTCAGTGGCTAGGGCATCAGCCACATACGATGGAGCTGGCAGGTTAGAATCCAGCCCGGGCCTGCCAAACAACAGACAACTACAACAACAAAATAGCCAGGCATTGTGGTGAGCTCCTGTAGTCCCAGCTACTTGGGAGGCTGAGGCAAGAGAATCACTTAAGCCCAGGAGTTTGAGGTTGCTGTGAGTGACCGGGGTGACAGCTTGAGACTCTGTCTCAAAAAAAGAAAGAAAGAAAGAAAGAAAAGTGCTGACATATGCTACAGCGTGGACGACCTCTGAAAACACCACGCTGAATGGAAGAAGCCAGCCCCTCAAAGCCACATAGTGTATGATTCCATTTATACACGGTGTGCAGAATAGGCAAATCTGGAGAGACAGAAAGAAGATGAGCAATTTGCTAGGCCTGGGGGTTGGGAGGAAATGAAGAGTTACTGCTAATGTGCACAGGGCTTGTTCCTGGAGTGATGAAATGTACTAAAATTGACTGTGGTGATGGTTGCACAAGTCTGTGAAGATACCCCAAACCACCAACTTTTATACTTTGAATATGTCAATCACATGGAACATGAATTCTATGTCAATAAAGCTGTTATATTTTTTAAATATCTGAGGACTGATTAATAATAATCACAATTCTTCATTTCATTATGGATCTATAATAATTAGTTATCTATATTGTTTGGGGGAACGGGTAGAAATTGGACGTATGTTTGCCCTGTTAATAACAAACCTGGACTTCTTTGTTTTTGAGACAGAGTCTTACTCTGTCACCCTGGGTGGGGTGCCGTGGCATCATCAGAGCTCAAAGCAACCTCAAACTCTTGGGTCAAAACCATTCTCCTGGTTTTGAGTATCTGGGACTACAGATGCCCATCATAATGCCTGGCTATTTTTCTATTTTTTAGTAGAGATAGGGTCTCAGTCTTACTCAGGGTGATCTCTGAGCTCAAGCAATCCATCCGCCTCAGTCTCTCAGAGTGTTAGGATTATAGGCATGAGCTATGGCTCCAAGCCTCAAACCCAGACTTCTAAGAGCTTGAGGGTGTTCAGATACCCAGAATGAGAGACTGTGAGAAGCCAGTAAAACAGGCAAACAAAAACTGTCAAGCACTCCTGCATGTTGTCTTTCTAAGGGGGGAGCTTAGCTCTGCCTATTAAATGACCTGATTTTTTTTTTTTTGAGACAGAGTCTTACTATGTCACCCTCAGTAGAGTGCTGTGGCATCACAGCTCACAGTAACCTCTTGGGCTTAAGTGATTCTCTTGCCTCAGCCTCCCAAGTAGCTGGGACTACAGGCGCTCACCACAATGTTCGGCTACTTTTTTTGTTGCAGTTGTCATTGTTTAGCTGGCCCCAGTGGGTTTGGGTTCCACCCCACCCCCCTGCCTTGGTGCATATGGCTGGCACTATAACCACTATGCTATGGGTGCTGAGCCAAATGTCCTGAATTTTTAATACTTTTTTTTTTTTTTTGCCGGGGCTGGGTTTGAACCCGCCACCTCCGGCATATGGAGCTAGCGCCCTACTCCTTTTGAGCCACAGGCACTGCCCAGCCCTGAATTTTTATATATATTTTGCTCCAGCATGCTCATTTCACCTCTGGAAATCTATTCTAAGGAAAAAATCATGAATGTGATAAAAGAGTATATTATACTAGGAAAAGGGCTGGTTAAATAAATGACATTGGTCATTTTTAAAAATGTGCAATAACATTCAAAGAGTACTAATTTTTAACTGTTATCAAATCAGGAATCTATATATACATGGACTTACAACTAGAATAATATATGCCAAAATATTAACAATGGCTATTACTATAGGTTCTAGGGTTTTTGTTTTTTTGGTTTCTATCTTCTGAAGTTTCTATAGAAGAATATATTGCTGGTTATAAGAAAATGAGTCTACACTAAGGTCAGGGTCCAGCATTCTAAGTCTGGAGAAGTAGTTTAGCTGGGCAGGGCTCTGGGTCAAGGGTCCCTTAGTTTTTTCATCCCATTTCTCTCTCTCCCCTTCTCTCCAGCAAAGCAGCTGCCAGTGAGGCTTGCCACTGCTCCCTGCTGGTGGCAACTAGAAGCACAGCCTCACCAGGCAGACCAGGCACATGGTGGAAGTAAGTGATCCCTGGAAAATGGATTTTGGAGTGGAGGGTGGATTTGGGGTGAGATTTAGATCAAAAGCCCTCAGGAGCATAATGGGGCTGCTTATAGTAACACTTAATAAAGATACATTGGATGAGTGAATGAATGTGGCCTCAGCAAGCCATCACAAGTGTCTGGCTGGATTCTCACGCTAGTCGGCCCCATAAATGAGCAAGTATAACTGTACCCTTGGATAAATTAGGAGCTTCGTTTTCCTTCAGTAAAAGAGAAAACATAATAAAGTACAAACTAGTCTTAGCATCATGCTCAGTATATGGTAGTTATAGTGTTCTAGTAGTTATGATTTTGTCATTGTCAGGTTACAGCTAAGGAGTTTTCTACCTCCAATGCTGTGGTGACGTACCACACCTCCATTAATGGAGCTGGGAACAGAAAAGTTGGTGCCCTGACCACCAATCCATCAATGCTCTTTTCAACCCTCCGACTGTAAGATAAGGGGGCTGAATTCCCTGTTAGTGGTGTCTATGCCTAGCCCTGGACAGATAGCTTTCATAGGGTGGGGACTGGGTGGGCAGAGGTGAAGATCTGGACCTGGCCCAGGTCAGTGGGTGCTGTGGTCAAGACACAGGTTCACCAGGGACAGTACAGATGGCCTCAGTAGGTACTACCCAGCCACAGGAACCCTTATGGAAAATGAATTTAAGGTTGTCCAGCCTCCATGAGTAGCCATGAGCCATCTGAGTTAGAGCTCAGATCACTAGCTGGAGGAGCAGGGCAGAAGCACAGCAGCCAGGAGACTCTAGATAACCTTCTCCCCTCTTCCTCATTCAACAAATATTCACTGAGCACTGACCACAGACAGTGTGGATACATGAGTGAATAAAGATTCCAGCTCTCGAGGAATTTACTTTCTAGTCTTCTCCCAGGACACTACACTGGATCTTGATCCCATTTTTACAGATAATAAACTGAAATCTTTAGCACTCAGGCCCCTGCCCAGCAAGCTCCCAGACCTGCTTTCTTTGGGTCAATTACACCTGAGCCCTTGATTTTCTGTGTGACTTTATAAAGTCATTCACCCTCTGTAGGCCTCCACTTTCACACTGTAGCACGAGGGATTTAACCTGGGTAGTCTGTAAGTCTGTTCTAGCTCTAAGGTCCTACTATGCACAGAGGAAATCCCAGAAAGACCAGCATCACACTCCTAAATCTCATTATGAAAACCCTCAAAGTCTCACTTCTAAGGGTGAAGGTCAATCAAATATCAGCCAATCAAACCAGCCACGCCCCTGTCAGGAGTCATCCCACCCCCAGAGAGCCAGGGCCTGACACAGACAGACATCAGCCGGGAAGCCCTGCAGAGGTCAGTGGGTGGGCTGGAAGGGTCTCACCTGGGCATCTTCCCGGGCCTGGTCCCGGTCTTCTCCTCCCTCTTCACGGTTCCCCTGTAACAGGAGCAGCAAGAAAGGCTGGTCCCCAAATGTCCACCCCGCTCTGACCCTTAGTCACTGTACATCCTGGTCAGTCACCTCACCCCTCTGAATCCTTTCCTCATCTGTAGCACAGGGACAATAATCCTGCCTCCATAGGCAGGCTGTCAGGTCATTAAATGAGAATATCTATGAGGTGCTCAGCCCAATGCCTGACCCATAGTGAACTCTTAGTAACTGTGAATTAGGGCCTGGCATTTAGGTTCTAGAAATTCAAAACATAGTGATGGAGACTCCCACAAGAGGGTTACCCATGTGGCTTTATCCTACGAGCTGAGAACCCAAAAAGCCACGTTATGACCAACAGGGAGGACTGTCTGAAGCAGGTGGCACCAAGCCAGCTTTGACGAATGAACACCAGAGGCAGGCATGCAGTGGGGAGATACCCTCTTCCTCAGAACGGGGCTACTAATCACCCTACCCCTTCTATGCAGTAACCCTCCCCCTCTTCCCTGGCATCTGGAAGGACAAGCAGGCCTGGGGCCCATAAATTCACTCACTGTGGCTAGAGAAATGAGGATTCGCCTGAAGTGGCCAGATGTGTCTGAGCTCAGAGCATCCTCCAGGGACTTGTGATAGTCTGAGACAGAGAAAGGGGCGGTGAGCAGCTAGCAGCCAAAAAAGGTTTGGTGAGTGAAAGGGGGTTCCTAGAAGCTCAGATTTAAGCCAGGGCAGTGCTGAAAGGGGGAAGGGAGGTGAAGGAGTTTGCAGGTGGGTTTGGGGAGCATCCAGTCATCCTCCTGTGGATTTTGTGAGTCAACTCACATTCCCATAACCCATCACTTCTGCTCTATCCTTCCCTTCTACTCTGTTCTGGTTGAGGCCCACTGGATCTCACCTCTATCATTTACCAGCCTCCAGTCATCTCCCTGTCTTCATTCTCTTTTCTACCTTTCCACGTACATGGCAGTTGTTAGACCCAAATGCCATGCTCTGACCATGTCACTCACCTACTAAAAAATTATGCCATTTTAGGCCAAGTACCATGGCTTATGTCGGTAATCCTAGCACTCTGGGAGGCTGAGGTGGTGGATTTATTTATTTATTTATTTATTTTTTTGAGACAGAGCCTCAAGCTGTCCCCCTGGACAGAGTGCCGTGGCATTACAGCTCACAGCAACCTCCACCTCCTGGGCTCAAGCGAGTCTCCTGCCTCCGCCTCCCAAGTAGCTGGGACCACAGGCGCCCGCCACAACGCCTGGCTATTTTTTGGTTGTAGCCGTCATTATTGTTTGGCGGGTCCGGGCTGGGGATTCGAACCCGCCACCTTAGGTGTATGTGGCTGGCGCCTTAGCCGGTTGAGCTATAGGCACCGAGCCGAGGTAGTGGATTTATTGAGCTCAGTAGTTCAAGACCAGCCTGAGCAAGAGTGAAACTCCGTCTCTACTAAAAATAGAAAAACTAGCCAGGCATTGTGGTGTGGGCTCCTGAAGTTCCAGCTACTTGGGAGGCTGAGGAGGAGGATTGCTTGAGCCCAGGTGTTTTAGGTTGCTGTGAGCTATGGTGCCCTGGCACTCTACCATGGCATCACAGCTCATAGCAACCTCAAGCTCTTGGGCTTAAGCGATTCTCTTGCCTCCCAAGTAGCTGGGACTATGGGCACCTACCACAAGGCTCGGCTATTTTTTGTGGCAGGTGTCATTGCTGTTTAGCTGGCCCAGGATGGGTTGGAACCCTCCAGTCTCAGTGCATGTGGCTGATGCTATAACCACTGTGCTATGGGTGCCAAGCCTAAAAAAAAAAAAGTTGAAAAAAAAAGCTACTTGCAAAAGAAAAAGTTTAATCATTTTGACCAGCGCTCAAGCTTCTTCAGAATGAAAATATGAGGCTACTCTTTTTAAAAATTGAGAGTTTCAAGATAGGGATAACATAGCATGCAACCAAGTCTGGGGCCCTGTACAACTGAGCAGGCCACACACTCCAAAAGTCACCCACCCTCTCCCCAGCAGGCTGGGACATCCCCTATTCCCACTCTAGCCAAGCTCTCTTCTATCTCTAGGCCTTTTGTGTTTTTTTGTTTTTTTTTAAACAATCTCACTATGTTGTCCTTAGTAGAGTGCCATGGTGTCACAGCTCATAACAACCTCCAACTTTGGGGCTTAAGTGATTCTCTTGCCTCAGCCTCCCAAGTAGCTGGGACTATAGGCACTTGCCACAATGCCCGGCTTTTTTTTTGTTGTAGTTGTCATTGTTGTTTAGCAGGCCCAGGCTGGGTTCAAACCCACCAGCCTCGGTGCTTAACCACTGTGCTATGGGTGCTGAGCCTAAGCCTTTGTCTTTTTGAAATTCCTGTTCTTCCCCAGACACAGAGCTGGGCATACTCAAAGGGCTTATCAAAGTCTTGAGGACTGAGAGAAAGGAGATGGGCCAGAACTGTGGTCTGAGGCCAGGCACTGCAGAGCCTGGCTCCTTTCCTGCCCAGGCCTCCCACACTTACCCTCTTTATAGGCCTCATTGATGGCCCGGATTTCGGCATTGGTCCGAGTGGCCAGGATTTCGATAAGAGCCTTTTCATCTGTGCCAGCTCCCTAGAATGTCAAGACAAAGATGATCTCAGCCACAGTTCTGACCCCTGTGCAGAGGCCCCCAGGCCCCAGGCCAAGGTGGCACCAGCTCCAAGAAACCACCCCGGAGGCTAAAGCCCAGCCGAGCCTTCCTGATTTTCCACTGACTTCCAGACATGGCTCCCAGACCAGAGACCTTGGCACAATGATGGCTGTCCACACCCGCCTCTCACAATTTCTAGAACCTCCCATGATAATTGCTTTTGGAAAAAAAAAAAGATATATAGGTATGTGTGTATTAAATACATATTCACATAATATATATCTGAATATAATTATTTACACATGAGTGTGTAATAAGAACAGAAGACACACACGTGCATCA